TTTTTATCTTAATTATTTATTTTTTAATTCAGAATGAATCACCTATTTGACCGAATGKTTTGACCAAGAAACTGGTGGCCAAAACAATTCCTTGTCTGATCCGCTTTTTAAAACCTTCAATAAAATCAAAATAAATTGATATAGAGCAAAATTCAAAAGTCATCTCCCTGGTTCCTCGCCTACAATGGCTTTAGATTCAATCTCTGTGAACTATTGAATCTCGAATAAAAGTTCAAAATACCAAACTTTGAATCAGATCCCCCACATCCCCATCAATTGTCATTATGGGTGAGCACCACACCAATTCAACATTCAACAATTCTCTTAATCTCTTTTCTCTCTTTCATACATTTTTTTGCAATCTGAGTGAACTCTAATAGTCTTATTGGCTGTTTGATTAATTCTTCAATTCTCAACTTTATTGAAGTTTCAACAAGAAGAAGGCTTGCTGCTTTGCTCAACCAGCTCAAGTATCTCGCGTTAGCAATTTGGGAGGCTTGGACGTTGAAAGGCTTTAACTGTTGAAATCAAATTAGGATTTTGAACTAACAATCTGGGTAAGTCCAATTAAATTAATTTTATTTTTTTAGAATTTAAAAAAAGTGGTCGTCTCTTCCCAAAACCAATTCCCCAAGTTTAATAGCCCAGTTTGGAAAATATTTAAAATAAAGGATGTTGAAGGGAAGAGAAAAAGAGTAGTTTGCCAAAAATGTAGAAAAGACTTTAGCTATTGTAGCAAGAGTGGTACTAGCTATTTGAGTAGACATTTTCTCACACATGAGAAAGAAGAAGAAATAATCCACAATTTAAATGTATTGTTGAAATAATGGAAAATAAATTTAAAAAATATTGGGAGAACATTTCTCCTCTTTATTGCTTATCTACAATATTAGATCTAGGGTTAGGAAAGATGGCTTAGATATTTTATTTGAAACATATTGTGAAAATATGAATATTGAAATTGGAAATAAAAAAGAAGAAATTAATAATTTATTATTTGAAATGTATAGTTTATATGAATCTGAAGCAGTAGGAAAGAATCCTACAACTTGTACAACATCTAACATCTTTTACTTCTGATCTTGAGCCCAGTAGTAAAAGAGAAAAACTTTTTTATTTAATAAGTAGAAGGCAGAAATCTGCTACTTCTACAATAAGTTCATTTATTGAACTTAATTTTTATTTACAAGCAAACTTTTTTACAAATAATTTTGATGTTTTAGCATGGTGGAATGAACATTCAAAAAATTATTCAGTTCTCGACGCCATGGCACGTGATCTACTAAACCCCTCCGGTGTCTACAGTTCCATCGAAGTCTTGTTTTAGTGTAAGTACTAGGGTGTTGGGTGATAAGAGAAGCTGCATGAATGATGAAAGTATAGAGATGTGCATCTATTTTAAGGATTGGCTAGATGCAGAAGATAGATTACAAGACAAAAAAATGCATGATACTACATACACCGGATATTTCACCTGAAGCAGATGATGAAAGTCATGATTTATGAACAATAGTTGACTAGTTGTATAGAATTTTTTATTTTTTCAAATTATTGTAAATTTTGTTTTAATTCTATTTAATTTATTTGCTATTTTTTTTAACAATGTAATTTTGTATTTTCAATTTGTAACTATATTATATTTTTTATATTTTATTAATTTATTCAATTTTCATATTTCATTCATCCAAGTATCCAACCATTGTATGCTTTGTAATTTGTATCATTCAAATTTAAATGAAATAAAATTTCTATTTTTCTTCCAATTTGTTATTCCATCATTCTTGATTCTTATTTGGTGAAGATTTTTTTTTTCATTTGTGTTAGATTCTCATTTCTTAATTTTTCAAATAGTCCCCAAAGCTCAAAGGAAAGTAAAGTATTTTAGTTTTACACTTTTACTTAGAAAAGAAATAAAAAATTTCAAAAAAAGAAAACAAAAAAAAGTAAAAAAATCAGTCTAGCCTGGTTCAGCCCAGGCCCAAGGCTCGTTCTGTGGCCCAGCCCGACACGGAACAGGCCTGGGCAGTGGGCCATGTTGGACCGACCCCCAAAATTTTTACCGGGGAGGGCGACATGGCCTGTGACAGCCCATGGGCCAGCATGGCATGGCCCACACTTTGCACGGGCCACTCGCGGTTTACACCTCTAGATGCAATCAACCCTCATCCCCATCACCGTCTGGTGAAAACATGTTATTGAAACCATAAATTCAAGAATATGTTTTTGGTTAGATGGTTTTGATTTATTTTTGGATTTGGAAACAAGAAAACACTTCAACGCCCCCTCAATTGCCAATAAAGTCCTAAGTCAAATAAAATCTCTTATTGCTGTTTCAAGATTTTGTATAATGCCTTTCAAACAAAATTAATTCTAAATTTAAAATTTAACTATTGAATATTTTAACAAAAACAAAACCAATCATGTTTTCGAACACCTCACTTGCGTAATGAGAGCATATGCATTGGGGTAACTAAGGTCTTGTGGATAAACTTTTGCTATGGAGCTTTGGTATGTGAAAACAAAATTTGAACCAAAAAAATGTTTTGACCATTTGGCAAGAGTTGCTTTAAAAACGTCATAATTTGAAGCTAAGGCTCTATTTGGGAAGAGTGCAAATGATGGTTTAGTTAGGGGTGTAACTTGGGCATGTCTAACCCGAGCCCGAACTGATTCATCCTAAAATTTTACACAGGTTGGGCTTGAATTTTTGGTCCTCAGGTTGTGCTCAGGCCCAAGAACTTAGACTTTGCCTTGTCCTTAGTTATCCTGAACTCGGCCCGACTATATGCATACATACATACATACATACATACATACATACATACATACATACATGTTTGTATACATATTTACATATATACATCCGTATTTGCATAAAATGTATACATACATATGTAATTTTAGAGCGAATTCATTGACCAACCTAAACCCAGACCAGGCCTGAGTCCAACCTGAGTGCATCAAATTACAATGCAGGCTGGCTCGGTTTGGGAAGGTTGGGCTTCCCCTTGGGCTTGGCCTTTGCTTGGGCCTTAGGCCCAAATCTTAGGGTTGGGCCTGGGTTGACCATAAACATGGCTCAACCTACCTGACTATGTTTAGTGTATATATGCACTCTAGTTCAGTTTTGCTATTGTTTGGTAAGGATACATTTGTGTCTAGAAAATGACAACAAACAGAGATTTCAAGACATGTTGCATTTGAAACGAGAGCAAACTAAAAATCATTTAGCAAGAGTACAAAATTATCATTACAAAGCTAAACCAACTTTGCATTTTTATAAATCATACATATTTTCATTGGTGCTGATTTTTTTCTTGTATTTTCACTCTTCCCAAATAGAGCCTAAGGTTGTGTTTGGTTGCAATACATTGCACTAATACAAATGCATAGGAATGCAAAAGAAAATAATACAAATTCTGGTTTAATTTTGTTTTGGGTTTGAATCTGTTCTGCATTAGGTCTTATTTTATTTCACTTAGAATGTAATTAAACAAAATAGGATAAAATTTAAAACAAATATAAAACAGAATTAGAACCCAAATCATTTGCACTGCCAATATTTTGCATCGGTGCAAATAAATTTGTGCTACAACTAAACACAACCTAGCTCAGTTTAGATAAGTACAAATACAAATATGTAGAGTGCAACCTTATATTTTGTATGTATTTGCATTGTACGTATTTGTATTTATACTCTTTCCTAACTGAGCTTTACAAATATGTAGAATACAAAACTTAATATTTTGTATTATTTTATATGTATTTATATTGTGCATATTTGTATTTGTACTCTTTCCAAATTGAGCCTAAAAAGCAATTTTAATTTTAAGCCCAAAACACTGTTCATGTTTGATGGCATAGGTTAGCTTCGAAAAATACTCCCTTGAACTTTACTTTGTGACAAATACCCCCATCCATTAGAGTTCTATTGGTTAACTTCGAAAAGGATTCTCATTCAGTTATTTCAAATTTTTAATCTCAAATTTACCATTTTCTTATGACAAATACCCCCATCCATTAGAGTTCTAAATATAACATTGAAGTCCTCTCGGTTTCTCTAATAGATTTTTGCAAATTTTTGGATGGATTCAATATTCACACGAAATGCTAGAGGTTTCTTTCTATTAGATATAAATTTATGGTTTTGTTTGGTTTTTCTTGATTTATTGGAGAAAGGAGTAGATGATTTTTTTATTTTAAGATGAAGAGAGACATTCATGTTAGTGAAATGAATCAAGAATTTAAAAAGAAAACTTTGTTAAAACTTTGTTTTCTATGCCATTGAAATGATTCTTGTTATTTTAGTTGATTTTGTTTGGAGGAACTGAAGTATTTTTTCTCAATTAGGGTTTAAGAAAAAAAGGTGAGAAAAATAAAATAAGGAAAGTTTAGGTAGACATTTTGGTAATTTAACACATTTTATAATCTTYTTTTATTTTGTATTAATCACTGTATAGCAGTCATTACTCTTTTAAGTGAACAGTATATCAATAGCTCTTTTCTTACAAAAATGATAATAATAGGATTTAAAACCATTCATCCAATGCACCAACTGGAAGGAATACAAATACAAATACTTCAGTTTGTCGGAAAAGCTCAGTTTGAAAGGAGTACAAATACAAATACGTAGAGTGCAAAATCTTGTATTTTATATGTATTTATATTGTACATATTTGTATTTGTACTCCTTCTATCTCAGTTGAAAGTAATACAAATACAAATATATACAAAAAAATACAAATACAAGGTTTTACACTCTACATATTTGTATTTGTACTCCTTTCAAACTGACCAAAAGTGAAAGTTTAGGGGGGTATTTTACACTGACCCCATATATCCAAAAAATTTGGTTCCAACCTTGGGCAGCACAGGCTCTATACCGTAGGCTGCCAAAATTTTATCGAGTAGACAAGCCGGCTTGGTTAAGCCTCCGGGTTTCCCATTGACTCGTCTCGACGAGAAGGTATAACAAGAAGGTATAAAAGCGCGTCTACGCCTCCTTACCAACCCAGTCTTCTTCTACTCCACCTCAGCGATCTTTCTCTGCATCTTCCTCGCGTGTCGCTTACAAAAATCTTCAAACCAGAATTCGATATTTCCTCTGGTCTTTCTGCTTTTCCTGCAGAATTCCAATCGACCAAACATGAACATCTTCGCGAAAAAACCTACAGCCAAAGGTTTGTGTGTTTCCCCCTGGTTTCTTCTCTATCAGCTTAGCTGTTGTTCACAATTTTCATGGAATTAAGTGTTCAATTTCATTGGTTTTATGTTTATGTTTTCAATTAAACTTTTGGGTTTGATTGGATCGTTCTTTTTCTTGTGTGATTGCATCGTGTTTTAATTTAGAGATCCGATTTAGTTCTGTTGACTGACCTTCCTTCTCCACCGCTTGGTTGCAGAGGCTCTTCGTGAAAGTAAGAGAGAAATGACCAATGCTGCTCGAGGTATAATTTATTACGTTTGCCAACTCACTTGCCTTCACACGGTGAATTAAAGAAGAAGAGGATGAATTAGCCTTTCTTTTTTTCCCCTGTAATATTCGTTTTAGCATCACCTTAAATTTCGATGTGAATCATGAGTAGGTCGAATGTCCCGAGCTTTTCCTTTTCATTACTTTTTTCCTTGTTAATTACATGCTGAACTTATGGTTACTAACAAAAGGAATGGAATTCCACGGTGATAATGTATTAGCTAATTAGGCAATCCTTGTTTGATTTAGATCACGTTTGAGATATTTTGATTTAGATGCTAAAAGAGGTATAATTCCCCTTTGAAAAGAGCCTCTGCAAGTATTTTATTTTTATAAGTGGCCTAGGACCTCTATTGGTTCAATTTGGAGAACATTAAGATGGATGAGAGAGTGCATTTCATGTAGAGGTTGATCTGTAATCGAGTTTTTCATGTTTTACTTGTTACTCATTTGTGTGGGAGTCTATGTTTACCACCCATGGTTACCCTCCATTTGCATATGCCAACATTATAGATTACTTAAATGACAAGCTGATCCAAATGTAGGAATCATCTGTTTAGACTAAATCTGGTGGCATTTTGGCATATAAGATCTTGGCCTTCTTGATGCAGACAAAACCTATCTCTATGGGCAGGCTTCTGCATTTGACTCCATGAGCTGATTAATTCATTGTCGAAGATACAGATTGTACCTAATTATAGTTACAGAACCATTTCCTTAAAAATAGGGGAGAATTGTACACTGATAAAAAAATAGGGGAGAATTGTATATGGTGGAAACAAGACAATGTAGTTAGTTTTGAACAAGGTAGACTGTGTTTTGGATTTAATTGTTGTTTCTTGCTGTCTTGTGTGGTTCTGACACTGGAAGTTTGCGCTTGTGGCAAATCCATTTCTATTGTTGATTTCTATGTTGATCATTTGTCTTGTTTTTCAGGTATTGAAAGGGAGATTGGAACATTGCAATTGGAGGTATGTTAATAAAATCTGAATGCTACTTTGGTTTCTAAATTGGTACTAGATTTAACTTAAGCTGCTATTTTGACAGGAAAAAAAGCTTCTTGCTGAGATTAAGAGATCTGCTAAAACAGGGAATGAGGTAATTCATCAATACAACTTCCCTGGATTGTTTCATTCATGGGACTCAAATCACTGTATCTTTTGATCATTTCCAATAACACCTAAAGTGTTATCTTTTTCCAAGTGTATCAGCTAGTTATCAGCTGCTGAACTAGAACTTATTGTTTTGACTTTCTTTGTCATCTGCAGGCAGCAACTAAAATTCTGGCCCGTCAACTTGTAAGGCTGAGGCAACAGATTTCTAAATTACAAGGTAGCCGAGCTCAAATGCGAGGTATAGAAACTCACACACAGGTATACTGACAAACCCCTTTCTCAGTATCCCTTGTATGAGATTTGCTTTGGTTTTGTTTGTTTTCTCTGGAGAATTTTTTTCTCTAGTTTAGCCGTTTTTGTGCTCCCTTTGCAGGTAATTCATGCCAACACTTCAGTTGCTGCTGGCATGAAAGGTGCAAATAAGGCAATGACAGCTATAAATAAGGTCAGATTAACAACATCTAAGCTTTATCACTTAGGAAAAGAGACCCAGCTGGAAAATTCATATTTTTATCTTGGGTCTTTCAATAAACTATCATGTATTTTAATACCTAAAGCTCTAAAAACATCTACATTTTCTGAAATCACTTTTTTTTTTGGAAATACCATTTTTTTTCAGCAAATGGAACCTGCAAAGCAAGTGAAAGTGATGCAAGAATTTCAGAGGCAATCAGCACAATTAGACATGACAGTAAGATACTATATCCTCATGTACAAACAGGTTCTTCTGATATTAAATTGATGCTATGGATGGAAATTGTCTAATTTTGCTGCTTTCTGACAAAGTTAATGGCACTGCCGAATTTTTATGCATGCAGACTGAGATGATGTCTGATACCATAGATGACACCTTGGACAATGATGAGGCTGAAGAGGAAACTGAGGAGCTGACAAATCAGGTAGGACCCTTCATTTGCCTTCAATTGGGATCCATGAGAATTATTTCTAGCGTCATTTGATGAAGATCAATGGTGCACCTCACCTGATACTGTAGACCTGGTCCATTAACTTTGGCGCCTAATGGCTATCTGTTGGATATGGAGTTTGTATCAAGCATCAAGAACCAATGGATTTTGATTGTTCAAAGAAGACTGAAAAAAGAATGCAATACAAAGCTCACTTCTGAAAAAAGAACCAGTGGGTTTTATTATCAGGAGGTGGCCTGTAGTTGACCTTTGAGCCAAAGATTGATGGGCAATTCTTGTTACTGATAGGGTTATAGTTTGAAATGTCTCTGTGTTTGTATCAAGCATCAAGAACCAATGGATTTTGATTGTTCAAAGAAGACTGAAAAAAGAATGCAATACAAAGCTCACTTCTGAAAAAAGAACCGGTGGGTTTTATTATCAGGAGGTGGCCTGTAGTTGACCTTTGAGCCAAAGATTGATGGGCAATTCTTGTTACTGATAGGGTTATAGTTTGAAATGTCTATGTGTTTCCTAACTTTTGCATGACATATCTCCATTTCCATGGGTACCAAGATGGAATATTACTAGAATATATCTCAACATACTCTTTAATGCTTAGAATCCTTTATACTGATCTCAACAAGCTTTTGCTTTGTTAATAATGATAAAAAAGTAAGTTGCACTTTCTTAGTTATAATTCGAAGTTTCAATTATATATATACATCATTCAAATAATTTGTTTTCTTCAAACCCATTATGTTTTCAAGTTTATCATTATAGATGACTCTTTCTTTCTTATTTTCCTTTATGAAATACTTTTAATTATACATAATTAATAAATTAGATACAAAGCATCTCAGCTAAACTCAAGTAAGCTTTGCCCCAACTAAATATGCTTCAAATTAGCATAAACATATTTATATGTAAATCATATATTTTGTATTAAACAAAGCATAATCAGTAATAGGTATTATAATATTTTTCTAAACCCTTTTTATATAGTATACAATAACATTGAAATGATTGAATTATTTTAAAAGTGTGATTTTTATCACTTTAAAATAATGTAATTATTTAAAAGAGTATTCCCTGTTTTTTATTAAAAAAGCCATTACCCAATGTTGGTCCCATCTATCTAGGGTCTCAAAAATATTGACAAATATTTTCATAAATTAGTATTTACAATGTTATGTAAATTAGTATTTACAAGAGTATTCGAAGATGAAGATGCACTGCTTGATGGATCCCACCCATAGTTCCAAGGTATCGATACTCATGATACGTAAAAATTGCATACCATGAGTTTCCAAAGGGGTGATACTCTTTTTCTATTTGTTCGGCCCATTATTTCACTATGGGTACAAATTGATACATATAGAAATCCCCTAGCTCATAGTAAATAGTGTTTAGTGGGTTCAAATTGATACATATTGTATGATATGCACCAATGCATTGTGATATTTTGAATCTTGATCCCACCTAAAAGAAGGCCTGCACCAAAAATCAGCATGGCTTTTTATTCATAAAAAACAACATGATTTTTTGCCTTTGGACCATCTGATTCATGAACCATTTTCAAAACTTTCAAATAGTTTAAATAGAACTTTTAATCATTAAATGGGACACATTAAATGCTTAAGGGTCATACTTGTCGGCGATAGATGGTAAGTTATGGAGCCCTAGATTGATTATGGATTCTGTGTCACCAGACCCAAGATTTTGCCTGTTCCAAATATTCATAATTTGTTTACTCCCAATTTTTATAATGCTTGTTAATAATAAGGGAAAGGTTCATTCACCTAATCCTTTTCATCTCCATGCAAAGAAAATTTTACTTTTTTACTCACCTTGTTTTATTTAATTCCTGCATATTTAAACTTTACATATCAAGTTTATGATTTGCACTTTTGCAGGTGCTAGATGAAATTGGTGTTGATATTGCATCACAGGTTTGAATCAGGAATAACTTATTCCATGGGAGTTTCTTTTTTTTTCTTCTTTTTTAATGTCATCTCCTTTTGTGTTACTTAACAATTAATCTGATTTGGGGTTCTACTGGAATTCTTAACAGTTGTCAGCAGCTCCAAAAGGAAGAGTTGCAGGAAAGAAGACTGTGGATGTTGGAAGGTATCTAACCCTGTATCATCTTCTTTAACTCTTCTCTGCCCCATCTAAGCCCACAATGTCCTTGCCTGGCATATATTTATTGCTATTTTGTAAGTAGTTAATTAACAAAATGCTCTTGATAGAGCACAAGCCTAAGGTTGTCTTTGGATTTGGAATTGGAGGTGGAGTTTGATTGGTCATTTCAGTAAATATCAGGATAATGTCATTTGGATGTTTTTTTTAAGCATGGTAGAAGTTGGAGAAATGCAGAAAAAAAGCCTGCAAATTATGTTTCAGTGGATTTTGAATTCTTCCTAGAGGCTAGTCATTTCATTTCTGTGGAATCAAAATTCTAATCCATTCTTCTCCGAAAATCCAAAAACAGCCTAATTGAATTAATATTAGTACCAATGATAACTCCATAATTAGTAGAGATTTATAAAATCAAAAATTGGAGGGAAGTCTGGGGTGATCAGCTCATGGAGATATGAACCTTTCTAGTTCTTTTAGACCCAATTTCTTAGACATACATAATATGTAAAGATGTAATCAAAACAGAATGATAACGTGACCTCTGGTGTTATTTAGCCCGAAGACATTGAAAATAATTGTGGGGAGAGTGCCGAGTAATAAGAGGAGTGACAATAGAAGCTCCCCCTTTCTGTTCTTTTAAGTACTGTTGCTTTAAAAGCATTTAATATCTCCTAACATAATTCTGCTGGCTGACTTATTATAACATATCTCCTAACAAGTTATATGCTTACTTCCTTTGCTCTGACTTTGGTCTGGAACCAAGTTATATACTTATTTCCTATTACTAGGACAAAATTCTAGTGAATATTAGCAATTTTCCACTTGTATTAGCAATTTTCTAACTTTTGCAACTATTATGTTCTTTTGTCTGCAGTTCGGATGTAGATGAGCTTGAGAGGAGGTTGGCAGCCCTCAGAAACCCATGAAGCGAAGATTGGAAATCCGTGTGGCATGTTTGAGAGTTAACTCAGATTCTCTTTATCCTGTATATTTTGTCTAGCATGTATATTTTGTATAGTGGTCTTGTTGTATATTGACAGTTTGGAGCCACCTACAAATTAAACTTGGGGTCTCATTTGTAGGCTTACTCAATCGCATGGATTGTAAAATGTCAAATCTTAATTATTCATTGAATGGACAATTTTGGATGGCCAAAGCATTTTCTCACAGCCCAAGGTAAATATAAATCTTCGAAAAATTTAAGAATTAAATTTGATGTTGCTGGCCTAATATGATCCCAGAAGGTGCTACCCGAAGGTTTTTTAGATTGATTTATAATAGGCCAAAACACAGTATTATATGGACACTAGACCTGTTCATGGGTCGATAGCCCGACGGCCCGGCCCGACTATTTTACGGGCCGGGCTCGGGATTTGTTAAAAAAGCCTCACCCAACTTTTCCTAAACTGCCTAACCCTAACCCTAAATATTAAAAATTTTTCTTTTCATTCTCCTTTCTCACTCTCACTCTCAGAAGTAGCTCTCATTTCTCCCTCTCAACTCTCAGAACCGGCGAACCCAGCTGCGCCTGCGAACTCAGGCACCGGCGATTGACGCCACTAGAACTAGTAATCTCTCTCTTCGGTGGTGATCTCTCTCTCTCTTTCTCTTTCTCTTTCTCTCTAGCTGGCACTGTTTTCATCTTCTTTCTTCTCATTCTCAGTTCTCTCTCTTCTTAGAACTAGGTCTTCTATCTTCTCAGTTCTCTCTCTAGCTGGCGCCACTAGAACCCAAGCGCACCGTTTTCATTCTGCGAACTTAGGCACCAACGGCTAGCACCACCAGATCTAGATTGTCTCTCTCGAGCAGTGAGCTCTCTTTCTCTCTCTCTCTCTGGTTGGCACTGTTGTCATCTTCTATCTTCTCACATTCTCGATTTCTATTCTCACTCTCAAACTCCCAGGAATCGGCGAACTCAACAGGCACCATTCTCTCATTCCTTAGAGGGCATCGGCACTCAGACTCCCAGGTCGAGCTTTGGGCTTTTTATGAGGGCCAGGCTCGGGCCCAAGTTTTAGGTCCATTGGTCAGGTCGGGCTCGGGCTCGGGCCTGAAAAATTTATGTTAATAAAGAGCAAAAGCCCAGCCGACCCCGGCCCATGAATAGGTCTAATGGACACAAACAAAAGGGTAGCTCTATTAACAATACCCTATTCCCTGCATTTGGTGTTTTTATCTAGAACAATGTGAACTTCAAATTAAAAGGAGAAGCATGAGGATGGAATCGAGGAAAATGTTTTTAGTTTCTAACAAGTGACTATTGTTCCTTCCTTCTAAACCAAATAAGATTTGATTTTTATCTTTAGAGAAGCTCAAAAATGTTGTGGCGATTAGGGCTGTCAATTGGACTGGATTTGGTCCAATCCGATCCAGTCCAACATTGGTCCACTTACAAATGGACTGGACTGAATCCGGTCCAAACCCTATACAAACCGGATCCAATCCAGTTCAATTGAAATGCAAATGGACTGGATTATTAAATGAAACTTTATAAATTAAATGAAACACGGATGTTCTCCTGACGTTACAACTTTCACTCAAATGCCCTCATTTTCTTATCCTTTCCCAACATTTCTTTATCAATCTTGATTACAAGTTAAACAAATAAATCCTGAATATCATTCTATACAATTGAGTCATGGGTATCTTTTATATTTTTCATTGGGGTTTTGGCCTTTTTATCAAAATACGAATGTGCCTGGATCAGCAAACAATTGAGTTACACTGTTCCGGTTTTGAGGTGGTCACTGGGGATATTAAAGATTGAATGAAAGGTCTTCCAGCATATTAAAGATTGAAAAACAATTCCTTTTGAGGTGGTCATTGGGTATCACTCCCCAAATGGAAGCATGGGATTGACCCTGCAGAATTGCAGGCTCTCCACGGTATGGCCAGTGGACCTGATGTGCACCCTGCAATATCCCCACCTGAGTTCCTGCTAACACTAACCTGCTAATTACAGGTCTAGTTAGCACCTCACTCTTATGGGGGCCAAAGCCACATTATAGATCCAAAAACAAGTAAAATGAAATTTGTTAATGAATTATACGATGAGGAGAACCCTTTAATGGAAAGCAAGCTTCTTATAGAAAGGAACAAAAAAAATCCCATATGTTGTCAATGGCAAGCATGAAGCAAGGGCCAATAATCTACTCCAGAAATGACTGATCAATTTATTCAGACTCCAAGTGCAGCATACCAATCCATGATGAGGGATACAATTACAAATACATATTTGTCACAACTAAATATACAGTACCAAGGGGCACAAAAGTAAGTAAATTTTGGAAAAGCTCAACCACTTCTTGATCTCCTCTAGTTCTGTAGGATCACTTCACAGGTAAGAAGTGCTCCCCATACCACACCCCTCTAAAGCTGGTAGGTGGCACTCTACTCAGATTTCAAAAATCCAAGCCTTTTTCATTTCAAAAACTACTCATTCAAGTAGGAGGGTTTCGACGATAAAATCCAAGCAAGCTGGAGTTCCACAGAGGTGTCAGGGTTGGGCACACATGCAATGACCTGAGGTGTAGCCATTAGGTTTCCAATCTCCTTGGGAATTGTACCAGATAAATTGTTGGAACCTAAATATAGATATTCAAGCTTCCCAAGGCCAAAGATGCTATTTGGCAGCTCACCCTGCAATTGGTTACCATCAAAAGCAAACTCTACTAGCGCATTGGATTTCTGATCTCTAATGAAAATTTCATTAAAATATAAAATAAAGAGAGATTATAAGGCTTGGTATTACCCCCTACTGAGAAAAAGATAACACAAGGTTTAACAAATTCTACCCCACAAATCCAATTGGAAAAACACAAAACAATCTAACAACAGAACTTAACTACATGAAAATGTAAACCAAGAAATCCCATTTCAGCTGCTAGAAACATCCACCATCTCTTTTTAACAAGAAATGTCCTCAATGATTTGAATACCTCTGTTTTACCTGAACTGATTCCACTTCCTAATTAACCTCTCTCAATCAAAATGCCCCCAAATCCTGGATTCTACAAACTCTCAGCAGTTCACATAAGGCCCACAACACAATTCCACTTCCAGGTTCCCTATCTCCAATGGGATTAAATCTGAAAGTTTATTGTAGTCAAGGAACAAGGAATTGTGTTTTGTCACTCTACCTGTCTTGGATGAAATCTGTCCTATGAAAAAACTGCTCCAAAGGTCCAACACCAACTGTTTCCAATTTGCAAAGAACTATGGGGAGAAACTCTCCTAGTAGCTAGTTATGTTGGATATGAAGTTTACACAACATGGTTAGCTTGGATAAGGACAGACAAATGTAAGATCCCAGTGAAGGAATTACAAGAAAGATCAAGGAAAGCATGGTTAACAAAAAGACGAGCTCAGATAATATGCATAGAAGATGGATCAAGGCACACTACTCTGATTTTTTTTTCCTGTTTCAGTCTGAAGTTTTTAAAATTTTTTTTTTTTAATCATTGAAGTTTTCTTACACTTTCCACTAGAGAATAACTTGTGGACTCAGATAAAGCTGAGGGCCATCATAGCTTAAATTCCAAGATGGATCAAGGCATACAGGAGCCATTTGGCATACAGAAAACTAATACTTTAAACATTTAAGACAAGGCATACAGAAGCCATTTGGCATAACTTATGCATCAACAAGCATATCTGTTATATTACTTCAGGTCATGGCAGTTCTGTCACTTTATTTCAGATAATATGCATAGAAATTTTAACAAGAGAATCAAGATTTGTAAGCTCCATCACTCATAACAAGACTACAATACAAATTTCATGTAAAAAGTAAACGCTTGACCCACTAAATAAATTGATGCATTTTCAAACTGAAACGAAATCTCATATGAGAAATTGGAAATATCACCAAGATTCTCAAACTCAGAACAGAGAGAGCATGTCACAGGGAAAAAATTGAGGATTTCAATTTTTTGAAGGAAAACCAAACTACTACCTATTTCCGCCTGAGAGAGAAGAGCGAAAAAAATCCTTGCTTCAAACCGCCAAAGAGAAGAGCCACTTGATGGACGACCACTGGAGAGAATTCTTTCCACAGAGAGCGAGAGAATCCTGTTCCAGTCTTAAAGATTTCCAAAGAAGAGCCGCCGGAGTTTCTTCGAACCGCTGAACAGAAGAGCCACCGAAGAGAATGCTTTCCACAGAGAGAAGAGCCACCTGATAGACGACCTCTGGTGAAGAGTTGCTTCGAACGCTCGAACAGGTTTCCGGAGAAGAGTTGCTTCAGACGACTGCCGAAGGTTTCTTGTCTGGTTTCGATTTTGGTTTTGAACTTCTGATTCAAATCGATAGGGTTTGGCGAATGGCGATTGAACTATTTGGGTTTTGGTTTTGGGCCGACTCAAACCAATAATATTTCGGGCGATTTTATTTTGGGTTGGCCCAACCCAATAACTATAATGGATTGTCCAAAACCGACTTGATAAGATTTGGATCAGTTTGGATCCAACCCAAAACCGTCCAATTGACAGCCCTAGTGGCGATGCATGAAGCAGTTCTTCCTGTAGAGTGGGAAAAAAAAACAAACGCTCTTGTTGTGGTGATGCATGAAGCAGTTAAGAAAAGAGAGAAACTTTAGGGTGGGAAAATAAACAATAGTGCATGCCTGCATGGTATTGAAATTTTGAGAGTCGACTAAACCAAACACTTTTTGGCATGTCATATGGTTTGTGCTTCAAGGAGATCTCACATGTAATCTAATTACCTGTCCTTTCTGCAATCGACGCACAAACTTGCGTAACATAAGCTTGGATAGTAACACAACTGACAAAGGGAGTCATTAAGCTGAAATTGGAAATTGCAAGATAATAGTCTAAAACTCTAAATGATGAAAGTTATACATACGGATACGGGAGCTTTTTCTGTATATGAAGCAGAGCATAGGCTGATATTTCATTAACACTCGCACTTTTAAAATGTGTCAAGTGTTGGCTCAGTTGAATGAAGATGATAATTACATAGCTGACTTTTCAGATCCTGTGGCAGTGCAGGGATGCCATTTCCCAGAAGGAAGATGAATAATTCGTCGCCATTAGGTGGGTAAAAAGGAATTGTTCCAACTTCCACCTATCTTAATGGCACAGTTCATTTGGATGAGTAAAGACCCTCAGCCATTTCCCCAGCATGTTTAGGCCATCATACAAGCTGATCCCTCATTATTTTTCTGCTTCATAAATTGCTCTCTCCTGTAGATTAAGAACAGATATCCTCATTCACGAACACAGATTTGAGTCATTTGACTCAAACGAGCAAGCTTTGGTCTATGGAGTGCTTAGTTTCGATCAAGGGTCTAACCAGCCAAGTCTTGCCCTGGCATCACAGCAATGTTCCCCTTCCTTCACTTGAATGGCAGATTGACAAAGACCATTATCTAATCTCGCTATTCATGCATGTATTTTTCCAACTGAGGTCTGGTTCAAGCGACGACTTCCATCTTTCCTGTGTTGTTTGGGACCAGTGTCAAATGAGTCCTCTCAAATACCATTCTCTTTGCTAATTCACCAGTAGTCCCCACAAGAGCACTTCCCATCTTTGAAATGGTGAAATCGGCTAACATCCCTCACTACTATCTCCCTCCCAACAATCTTTGATATAAACTTTGTTGCTGCGTGGCAGTCCACGCACACCCGGAGATTCTTAGTAACTCTAATAGTTGTCCCAGAAGGAGTGCTTATGATGCCAAATGCTATGGCTAGCCTCTCACTGTGGCTACACAAAATGTGTTTCTTCTGCTCCTCTTCAACATCATGGAGTACATCATCTGTGTTTGGCACATACCCTTCACGCTCCATCAACTCTGACAGAACTTTCAGAGCCTCCTTGATTCTATCATAATATGGATGGGATTTGTCACCTGCCACAAAAGCATGTACCTTATTCTTGACTTCTATCCAACTGCAAGCTGGTTTCTTTCTCATACCTTTTCCCTTCATAGCAACTCTTAACTTTGCAGCATCGCTCCATCTGCCAGCAGCAGAGTATATGTTCGACATAAGAATATAGGAGCCCATGTTCTCAGGGTCAATCTCAAAAATTTTACCAGCCACCTTCTCAGCCAGTTCAATCTTCTTGTGTACCCTACAAGCAGCTAACAATGTTGACCAAACACTCCCTGTTGGTTCAATGTGCATACCAGAGATGAACATGTAGGCTTCCTCAAGTCTTCCTGCCCGACCAAGAAGGTCCGCAACAGCGGCGTAGTGCTCCAGACCTGGGGTAATTTTGTAATCATGGATCATACTGTGAAAGAGCTTCCAAGCCTCATCCACCAATCCGGCATGGCTGCAAGCAGTTAAAGCAGCAACAAAAGCCACATAATTTGGCTTTACATTCTCCTCTTCCATCTGCCTAAACATAGAAAGAGCATCACGGGCATGGCCATGCAAAGCGTAGCCCATGATCATGGCTGTCCAAGATACCATGTCAGGTGATGCCATCTTATCAAAAACCCATCGAGCTATGCGTATGTTCCCACATTTTGCATACATATCCACGAGTGAGCTAGATATAAATATATTATCATCAAAACCAGCTCTAATTATGTAACCATGCAGCTGCTTTCCCAAATTCAGTGTCGTCAGGTGAGCACAAGCAGGCATGATGCTGGAGAAGGTAACATGCCTAGGTTTCACCTTAGACATCAACATCTGGCGAAACAACTTCAGGCCTTCATCAAACAATCCATTCTGCACACATCCTGCTATGATAGAATTCCACGAGATTGCATCACGCTGGGGTAAAAGACTGAAAATCCAACGGGAATCATCCACTCTATTGCACTTAGCATACATATCAATCAAGCTACTTCCGATGAAAACATCTGAATCGAAACCATGTCTGATAGCATACCCATGGATCTCCTTCCCCTTGTAAACATCCACATAATCTGCAAATATAGGAAGGATGCTAGACAATGTGAAGGAGTCGGGCTTTAAATCAGCAATACCCATCTTTCGAACCATCCTCAAAGCTTCTCCATACATCCCGTTCTGTGCATTTCCTGCAATTAAAGTGTTCCAGGATACAAGGTCCCTATTGGGCATCCTATCAAATACTTTTCTCACGCTTTCCATATAAAAAGCCTCTCTTTTCTGAATTCTTTGAGCAAGATCGTTAGTAGTTCCATAAGAATGAAAGAAATTTTCCTTGCCCACACTTACTTGAGGAGTGAAATTACTTACTCGATCGAAACTAGCATTACAAGTGATACCTGCTGCTACCTGTCTGTGATGTTCATCGAGAGACTCACAAGAATTACCACCGGGATCCTCCCCCATACCGAATTCCCTCTTCACAGTTCCCCCACTTCCAAACTCCTTGCATATAGTTCCGCCGATGGATTTATTAGAACTAATCAAATTATACTTACATTCTCCAGAAGGTTTTCTTTCGGGAATTTTGTCAGACAGTAGCTGTACATCGGTGGTGTGTGATTCTGGTCTATCAATTTTATAAGTGTTCTGCAACTTGCAGTACATGTTCATAAGCGCATTACCTGTATAGAGATCAGATTCCAGACCAAGACGAATAACGCATCCATGAACTGATTCACCAAACTTCAAGTCCATCAAGGAGGTGCAAGATTTCAGAACAGAAGGGAAAATATTGTGATCTGGGCATTTTCCGGCAGCCCTCATTTCGTTAAAGGAAATCAAAGATTGGAGGAAAAGGCCATTGGAAGTATAACATCTGATAATTGATTTCCAAGCAAGAGAGGGAGGCGAGGGAAATGCGTTGAATATGAAAAGGGACTCTCGTAAAAGGCCTACATGCGAATAGATGGAGAGGACGGTAGCCATGAGAGAGGAGGAAGAAGCTCTGTTGCTCCTCCTGAGGATTTGTGCGTGCAACTGTTTTGCTTGGCATCTCGATTTGATGGAGGAAGGGTTCTGGAGGAGGGACTTGAGAAGGGTCGTTCCTGAACTCATTCAAATTTTTGAAAACAGAACCGTTATGGGAGTATATACTTTTATACAGTGAACCGATCTGTTAGGAATCTGGAGGAAGACCGTCGCCATCAGGCCCCAGCTTTTCAAACCGTCGGATCTGAATCCGGTTAATAATGTGCTTTGTGTTGAGACCGGATGGATTATACATCTATATTACAACGCGGGCTGCATTTCCATCCGCGGTGTAACATGTAGATGGTTTTAAGTAACGTAACTGATTCCCGTTACTTATTTTTTTAACACAAAAAAGAAAAAAAGATGGCTGTAATTTTCATTCAATTTCATAGGAGAAATTATGTCAGCCAAAGCACAAAGGAGGAATTGGGCTCAGAGGCCTAGAAATAAACAAGGCAATGTTCTCAAAATAAATTTGGATGCTCATAAGTCATAAGTGATAAAAATTCTCTTAAGATAAGTTTTATCAAAGCTAAATACTATCCCAATGATAGTATTTTCAAAGTCAAGCTGAAAAGGAATTGTTCTCCTTGGTGGAGGAAAGTTTTCAAACTGCTATCATCCATTAAAAGCAATATTTGTTGGGTCCTTCATGACGGTGAAAAGGTAAAGGCTTTTCAAGATCCTTGGTTTCCAAGTCTTCCATGGGATCTTCAAGTTCCGCCACAATTAAAAGATATGAAGGTCTCTTGTTTCTAAAATAATGATAATAATTGGAATCTGTCTCTACTTGAATTCTTTCCTCCTCCATCTTTAGAACAAGTTAAAAAAGTAAGACTCCTAAGTGAGATTCTAAGGGATAAGCTTGTCTGGACCATAACTCAAAGTGGAGTTTTTTCGGTTGTCAACACTCAATTTTTGCTCGGTCTGCCGCTTGAGCCTCCAATTCACCTCAAACACCAGATCAAACCATTCCAACCTCTCCAAAACACCCAAACACCCAGAAAACCCAAATTTTACCCCGAGAGCCCTCAGATTCACGGTTAAACCTGTTCGGTACCTATCTGATGGCCCCGATTGACCCTCACTTACACCTCAACCATTAAAGCAAACACATCCATCAGACCTAGGACATCCCAAAACACCTACCCATGAAATTTGAACTCAAGATTCTTTCGTTCACCCGTTCATCAAACAAAGACTCCATTTCAACCATTCTCGTACCCACAACCCATATCCACTTGATCCGAACACATCTAAACCAATCAAACTTTTTCAATCACCCCAAAATACCAAAAAAACCCTACATATGAAATTTCAGCCCAAAACACCTTCATTTACCCTCAATCATACCAAGATTCCATTTCAATGTTTCAGATTGACCGGATTACAAATTTACCCGATCCGGGCCCAATTGGCTCAAACTGAATTTACCAATCATCTCAGACTACCCAAAACCCTACCCTGAGAAATTTCACCCAAAACTGCATTTATTTTCCCTTCATCGCACAAAGTTTCCATTTTGAGCTCTCATATTAACCAATTTGAACCCTTTCCAGATCTGCCTAATCCGGGCCCAATCGGGCCAATCTGACCCTGCCGATCAACCCAGAATGTCTAAAAGCCCCACCCCAAGAAATTTCATTCAAAACTACCCCCGTTTGCCTCTTCATCCAAAAAGGCTTCGTTTCAACCAATCACACTAGCCCTCACGCATCAAAACCCTTCTCAACCATCAGACCCATCTCAACCCTCCAATTTTTGACCCAAAAATCCCCACCATTGAACCAAAACCCGGCCTAACCCCTTTAGACTCGGTTTGACCCATCTTTTCCAAAATTACAAAAATACCCCCAAATTCCCAAAAATTATGAAACTACCCCTATGCCCTAGTATTAAACAAACCTTTATTCTTCATTTGAGAATGGATTGTTCACTCTCCCTGACCCTTCAACACACAGCGGCGGAGTGGCGAAAATCTCTCTCCACTGGTCCCTCTCTCTTACCCTCTCCTAGTTTTCTTCTTCTCCTTTCTCTCGCTTCATTTTTTCTCAGTTTTACCTTTCATCATCGCCACTGCAAGTTGTAGCAGCTAGGACTGTATACGGGTCGGTTTACTAGGGTTTTCCCAACCGACTCGACCTGATCGGGTTACCTGAGGTGGAAACCGAAACCGACCCACTGATAGGAAAAACCGACCTGATCGGTTTGAATCGGGTTGGGTCGGTTTCGGTTTTTCTCCTGTAGTCAAACCTTATTTCTGAAACTTGTCTCACCTTTGGTCCAGTGTCAACCTTACTAACCCTTGTTCCACTCAAAAAGCTTTTGTATTTCCCTGGTAAACAAGCAACCTTAATCTGTTCAGATCTTTGTTGACCACCACCTGTCATTGAGCATGGAATTTTTCATGTCTGGGTTCCCAACTGTCCTTTCTCAGAGCCTAGAGTAGCCATCTGGGCATAAGTTTTGAGTTGAGACGTTGGATTCAGGCCTAGTGATCCTGATCTGCTATTAGAGGAAGGAAGCTGTAAGACTTCCTTTCCCACACTGAGCTCCAGAGTTTCCTTATTTCAGAAACTTCTAATCCCCTTCTATGATTCCTTTCTTTGGCTGAAAAAGAAGCTACTTTTGTCCATGTCAATGAAGTTAGGAACTACCGAACTAGTAGAAGACTAGTTAAGTAGGAAGACTAGTTTGGTTTGGTTTCGAGTCGGTTTCGGTTTTTACACAAGAAAACTGAAACCGACCCGATATTTCGGTTTATAAATTTGCCCAACCCGAAACCGACCGGTGCTGATGAAAACCCGGCCGATTCGGGTTGGTCAGTTTGGTTGGGTTGGGCCTTCTTATGAACAACCCTAGTAGCAGCGGCATATCTGGACTCTTCTTCCTCCTCTGGACCGAAACAGAGCAGCGACCAATCGGCGGAGCGGCAGTTACTTCACAACGGCTTCACCCCCACTCTTCTTCTCGTAATCTCACGAGGGAGAAGTCTTCAGAGTTACTGTTCATCCACATCTTCCTCTCGACAGCGGCCAACCAGAGCGGTGCAACTGAAACAGCCACCGCTGCTGCAACTTCTAGTAGCGGTGGTAGTTTCTTAGCTTCTATCGACCATCCTCCCTCTTTCTCTCCCTTTTCCTCTCTTTCCATCCCATTCCGCATTCACTTCTTGCCATTGAATGGCTGTTGGACACCTTCCCCGACGAAAATAGAGCAACAGCAGTGGCCATTGTCCTAGCATTTCCTTTAGGCTGAAGTTATACCGAGATTGATTGCAACAGTGCATTCCAAGCGTCTCCCGAAGATTCCCCATCCGAGAGCTCATTGGGTCTTCCCTAATTTTCAGATCATACACCTGACAGTCCCTATGCTCGACAGTGAATAAATAGCGACGAAGCCGGATCAGATCTCCCCAATTTTAAATCTTCCTTATGCCAAAAGTCAGACCTGAGTCATTCCCTTCAGTTTGCAACATTCTATCTTTTCAAGCTACATATCAATCAGGTAAGGTCACTAGCTGTATTTTTGCTTTCATATTCATTTACGCATATCTGAAGTTAGGAAGAGAAGGATCGGGCTAATTCAGCCCTTGTAATTCCTGGTACCAACCCCAGATATTTTGTTTCTTTCTATTGTTATTTTTTGGTAGGATTTAGTGTGTTTTTTCCTTTTGGATCTACTATAGGAATCGTTTTATACTTCTGGTATGCAATTATTGTAATGATCTTGCTAGTTTAGGAATTAATTTGTTTAGTGAGATCTGCATATGTTGCTTCTATTGTTATCTTCCAAAAATTTGGAGTCTGGAATCAAATGTTAGTTAAATCTTGCTTCTTGAGTTCATGACATAAGGTGGTTTTCTTTGTTATCTTCCCAAATAAATTGAATCTCAAGTCTAATCTCTTTGGTCTCATCGGTTGAGTTATATATGATAAGGTTAGTTATATAGTGTTTAATCTTGCTTCTTATGTTTATTATTATTTTGTTTAATTAATAGCATACTTTATTTGTGTTTGTTTGAGATCCCATGTGGGCCCCACCTATTGGACCTAGAAGAGGGGTGTCTAATCCCTTCCCTCTCCCATCCGAGTCTTACCCGAACTGGCTTAGCCGGTGCCTTGGGCTATTGGAGTCACTACTAAAATAAAAATGTTTTTGAAAGTCATTCTCGGAGGTCCCATCACCCCCAATTCCTAAAATGATGGGTGGCGACTCCATTTCCAACCCAAGTGCCAAGTGAGTTGTTTTCTGATGCTCACATCGGTCAAATCCATTTATAAGGAATTTCTTTCTAATTGGCTTTCCTCATCAGATTCCTTTTTTAAATGGTCTATTCTATGGAAATTAAAGATAGCATACAAGCATCAACTCTTTATATGGAAGGCTTTATGGAATGGAACTCCTGTCCAAAGTAAATTCCTTACAAGGAAAATGGAGGATAGATGTTATCTCTACAATTCTCATCAAGAATCATTTCACCATATCTTCTTGCACTGCCCATTTTCTAGGGCTATCTGGCGTGGCACCCAACTAGGTATCAATCTAGAAAACATTCAACAAGAACCTCTTCACCTCATCATTCATTCTTGGTAGAACAGGCTCAAACTAAGTATGAGTAAGAAGGAACATGATCACTACTTTGCTAAATTCTACATTACTTTGAGGCTCATATGGGACGAGCGAAACTTGAAGAAATTTCGAAATACATTCTCATATCCTATACAGGTGCTGGAAAAATTAAAATTGCTATACAAAGAAAACCTCGAAAGCTCTTCCACTCGACAAAATTATTCCTCAAGTCATCTCAGGCTTTCAAACTTTATTAGCATATATGCTGATGACTCATTTAAACCCTCATGCTTACATGCCAGTGTAGCTTATGCTATAGTGTCTAAAGAGAACCATCTAATATCTGTAGAACGAATTCCATGTCAAACAGCTAGATGCCAAGATGTTGAGCTCCATGCCATAATCAAAGGACTTGAAGCAGCGAAAAAGGAAGGATTCAAAAAAGTCTTATATTTTCTAATGCAGCACAAGCGGTGACAAAAATCCAAAATAAAGAATACAACGGCAACTGGATCGAAACAATGCTTTTAGACCATATATACACTTTACAAAAATCCTTTGAGGAGGTTCAAATAGAACATGTCGGACGTGAGCAGAACACCATAGCTCATCTTTTTGCTTACTGGTCTTGTATATATAATATTAATATTAGCTA